TTATTTTTGCGTTCTAGGCGTGCATTCCAAGGGGGGTTGATTGGTCTTTCTCACCAATAGCCGCCTGGTCCCATTTAGCAAGGACATGGTGAAGTCCTACGTGCGCTCAGCCGTGGCCACCAACTCCACCTATCAGAACACCAAGTGGGTCCTCTCGCAGATGCTGGCAGGCGGCAGCTCTTCAGGAAAGAGCTGGAAGTGGTAAGCTGGGAAGTGTGCAAGTGATTGACAATAGGATAATACTGTAGATGAATGTAGATGATAAATAGTATCTCTCCTCGGGAGTTCTTCAACATGAGAGATAAGAATCATTAGGGTCCCTGTTATGTCCCGTCCAGATGACCCGCTGGCAGGGATACCGTGTTAACATTTGCCAGTGAGCTTTCCAGGAGACCACCATTTGCTTCCAATCTTCCAACCTGGCCACAGCAAGAAGCAAGATCTGCTCACCATATTCATTCTCCCTAGGGCCCTAGGGCTCCAACCATATCCTCAGAAGGTGGTTAGACCCCCCAAACCCACCATAACCATCTTCTCAGGAGGTAGTTGAAGCCCTATAGGGTCTAACAATATTGTTTTGAACGCCGAGGAACCGGAGTGACAGTGCCGACTTCCTTCAATGGCATCAGCATGAAGGTTGCTTGGCGTCGGGTCTCGCGCGTTCTCGGTCGTGCTGAGAGGAGAGGACCCTGCTGAGAGCGGTCATTTCACTTGCTCGAAACCAAGCAGAGGAGGCACCAACCGCTTCGCTTTCTTTTGCTTCAGAACACTGTTCCGTCAACATTCAGTTGGCCATTTCTCCAGGGCCTCTGAGCTCTTGGCCTGGTTTTTGTTGGAGGGTTCCTTTCACTGTTTACCTTCCCCAGGGGCCGCTGGCCGCCAGACCCCTTGTTTCGTTTCAGTTTTGTTTCAGGCTTCCTGGGTCAGGGTTTCAGGGAAGATTGTTCTTCTCTTCATCTTGGTTCGCAGAAGTCACACCATCAACGTCATTGAGTTGGAGGCCTTGCTTCAAGGCACCTCAGGTTCGAGGAGTCCTCGCTTTGTTGGGAGTCCATGCGCTGCTTTAGACCGTCGAGTCTCGCGGCGCGGGTGTTCCACGACGTCGAGTCTCGTCAGGTCTTCAATCGAGAGCTGTCGGCCACCAAGTCCATGGCCCAAATCTGCACGGCCTTCGGTGCCTTGGACGAGATGTTGAGCTAAGAAAGGTTGAACCAATATGAGCTTACTCAACGAGTCCTGTATCGATCCACATACCCTCTGAGAAGGTGATGTGTTCGACACAGGAAGCTCTTTGGAGCGACCACGGACAGTTCTCCAACCCCTTGATGATGTTGGCTGATTTGTTCATGAGTTCATGAGTCCGTCTCAGTGTCTCACTTGAGAGGCTCTTGGAAACTTGGGTTGCAGATAGTTACTATAATTACTACACTGCCCGGCCCATGTCCTTAAAGGGTTTATCTCCAAATCCATCCAAATTCCTTTTCTCTTGGCAATCTCAGTCGACTAAGGTGAACCGCATGACCAGAGCAAGTGCCCCACGCTGGGTCATTGGTTCCACGCGATTTCTGTCCCATGGATTTGAACACCAGGGCCTATGGCGCACGAAACTGTATGCCATTCCCACATGTGCATGGTGACTCACCGACATTTGCGGTCCCTTTGTTCCACTCCATGAAGAAAATGCAGATTGGCTATTTCATGCTTCGATCTTCGACCTGCTTCCCCAAAGGTACCCCACACGTGCCCACACGACGGTCTTCTACAAGGATTTTGCCTTCGAGGACGCATGTGGTGAAACTGACCTTCGCTCCGGGAAATCGGTTCTTGGTTTTTGCTGCAGGAAAGCACCGTTTTCTCGGAATGCACCCCAAGAGTTCGAGGATCTCCTGAACATGAGGGTGATGTGATTTTCCCTATGGTTATTCTCCTCTTCTGGAGAATATGATTCTCGTATTTCTCCTCGGCTCCTGAATCCAGCAAATTCCAGATGTTGATTGAATGAGTTTGAAAAGAAGGACTCCTGAGGATGGCATTCGGGGGTGTGGTATAGGCTTCCAGTTGCGAGACATGGTCCATCCACGACGCTGTTCTGCTGAGCTGCTCAGAAGGTTGGCCTACTGAGGGGGGACCGATGTCATTTCAAGCACAACAGCATGGCCCCGGTTGGCTTGGACCACCCGCCCTCTGCAGGTCGGACAGGAAGCGCGGTGACCCATCGAATCTCTTGTTACGAAGGAAGAGGCCACCGCTTGACATCCACAGGCCTAGGATGGCCTAGGTGTCATGTGACAGGCAGTCACCCCCCCGAAAAAAGAGAGAATACACTACACACGTTATATACCGTCCTTTGAGGCTCATGGCAATCCCAGCCAACCAGGCTGTGCTTTCGTTGGTCATGTCTCATGCACCGGGACAGTGCAGGACACCAAGCGTCCCTTGGAGACCGAGGTGAGCGAGGCCAGGACACCAAGGTTTGGGGAACCTCTTGAGCCGGGAGGAAACCTCCAACTCTTCCCACTCAACAGGGAGGAGCCACAGGAGCGAAGGAGCCAGGGAGTTCCCTGACCCCGGGAGCTAAATTGATACATCGGTTGGTGGAACCATGTGGTGGGGTTGGAAGACCAGAACAGGGTTCGGACCAAGATTCAAAGGACTTGGTGACATGGTGATATGCAATTGACAGTGCAATTGACACCAAGCTCGGAGGGACTCGGAGGGTCAGTTCTAGGATGGTGTAGGAGACTCCATCCATGCCAATCAGGCTCAATGCAATGCAATGTGTATATGTGTCTATGTGTATCCCGTGCCGTGTGCGATATCGATGCAAAATGAGCAGTCATAAGACCATCTCGTGCAGATGGGTCATGAGATGTGTCATCCATCTCGCCCGGTTTGTGGATGAGTGGAATATACCCAGGAACCAGGCAAACCACTATATGCTATAGTAGGTAACCAGTGGTTCCAAAGACCAAAACCATAGACCTTGAATCCCTGGTTCCAATGGGCTAGGCTTCCTGGCTCAGAATTTAAGATATTAGCTTTTAACATGGTTGAATTCCGAACAATCATGGTTGTACCGGTGGAAAAAACACGACCAGCCATAGGCATAGGTCAACCGAGCTCTTTTCATGGTAGGCTGAAAATGGACTCATAAGAAGGTGTGCAGTTCATTGGAGAAGCTAAGGAGGTTTGCACAGAGGATCTTGTGCAGTTCCTCCGTGTACTTTAGTTTGCACGTTCTTTCTTGTTAATTAGATGATATTAGATGTGTTCTCGCTGTTTGACCCTGCTTGCCCGTTTGACTCTACTTGTGATCTCGAAAACGCGTGTCCAATACACAGTCCTTGTCCCTTGGATACCTTCACTTTGGTTCAGTGGCGCAGTGCAGAGTACTGAGTACGACACCCCCTCAAGGCGACCAAAGCTCACTTTCTAAGCCAAGACGTACTCCTGGACGTGAACATGGACTATGACCTTCTTTCGAGGGGCATGGTTTTGAGATCTCAACTTGGATGTTTTGGAGCTTTGAGGACACAAAAGATCCAGGGTTCATTCCTATAGTGTAGACTCTTGATTCATAAAACCATATAACACCCATCATTAAGAGGTGATTCTTTAACATCCATGTCTTGGGGCGGGGTGTATTTATTATATATATATAATCAAGAGCTGGCATTCCTAGGGGTCGGTATGTCAGATCATCGCGCACGCGTGGGGCTACGCTCGCAGGAGTCGGCGCCCAAAAGCCGCAAGATCGAACCAGAGAGTGGCGAGAGCGCGTGAGGTTGGCGCGTGGGGCGGGTGGCACATGAGGTTGGTCAAGGTCGGATGGCTTGGAATTGTTACATAATGTCATTATAAAGGTTGGTTGGCATGGTTGGGGCATGTAGCACGGGCCTTATACAGGTTGGGTTTTATGGTGCGTTTGAGGAAGTAGATCATCAGATCATCAGGTGAATTTTAGTCGTTTTGAGCGTTTGGGGTTTTGTGATTCAATCATTCAATTCAGTGTCATTCATCAAGTCAGGCTCATGACAAACATCAACAAAACATGGCCCTGGATAGACCCTCCTCAGAGAGCTTTTCGGCTGTCCTAGACAAGCCCAAAAGCTCATGTCGATGGGGGGGGGCCCGGGGACCACTGCTGGGGTGCCTCTTCGGGTAGATGTTGCCTCTCTTATAGAACTCTTGGCTCAAATCCCATGGAACATTCTTGGCAACCCCCCAAAAGCCATTAAAAAATCGAGCGGATCTTCAACCAGGTTCTATCGAATTATAGCATGTTATGCCTCTTTGGGGCACCTAATTCTAATACAAAACAATGTTGTCACCGTCTCTTCCAAGCCTTGATGCTGGGTACCACCACGATGAAAAGAAGATCCCTGATTTGGCGTGAGTTCAGCAGCTTGGACACATCCATCTTCTGGGGTCCATCCACTCGCAGCCGGAGGCGTCCGGACTCCGCTCCAGCTCCAGCTCGCAGCGGAACATGGCGGAGTGCGAGAAACATCGGAGTGCGGTATGTGCGGTCAACGTGAGACGCATGTCGGTGAATCGGGTGAATCTCAGGTTGAGGTTTTCGATGGTTGAACAGGGTCAGCGCATCACATCCTCTATGATTTGGATTTGCCACACGATGATAAAGAAATTGGAGGGTGCAGGAGCGGGCCGAGGTGGATTTTTTGTGCCAAAGCTGACAGGCCTGTAACTTGCCCTCAATGCTAGGGTCTCATGCCGGCCCAAGTGGGCCACATGTGAATTCCAGAGTGACAGCTGTACAAGGATACTGCCCTAGGCCTCCAAGTACCTCCTCAGAAGGTATGACTGGACCCTCCAAACCCACCACAAACACCTTCTCAGAAGGCTAGGGCTGCAAATCAATGCTGGGCCTCACGGCCTTCTTACCTTTTGTCCTTCTTACCTGTCTTACCCTCGGTCGTTGCAGTGGTTTTGCTGGGCCTCCGAGTCTCACTCAACCTCACACGTTGGTCACGCCCCAGGCCATACCTAGTCATCGCTGTGAGCCATGTGCTCCGGGACACTTTAGCCACGCGCCAACCTGACCTGGCCTTTGACGGAGTCTGACTCTTTTTCAGCTCCGGATTGTGGGAGTTCATGGGGGTTTAACATACAATCAGTGGGTTTGATCGAAAAGCAGCAAGAGACCAAACGATTGGCTTCGATGTCAGAGTGAGTTTGAGTATATATATATATATATATGAGAGTCCCTTATAGGGTTATTTTGTGATGGGGATGAACTCTTGCTCCCGGATACCATCTACCTCCAGTTACTACATGTTATTACCGGATACGGTCCCTACCAGCACCCTCCTGGCCAGGCTGTTAGTTGAGGGTTGTTGGACCCTAATCTCAATTGGTGACCTGTAGAGTCGGGTCCTGGTATACTTTTGTGGGTACAAACTCAGTTTTGCGGGTGTCGTTGGAAACAGCGCTCGCAAGCGGCTCACGCTTTAACAAGCTTATCGAATCGACCGGCGTAGCGCGCACCGTTCAGCTTGGCATCTCCTTGGACCGCCTTGGTGTTGCGGATCGTGTGACTATGTTCCTCAGGAGTGAGTCCCCATACTTGGAGAATATGATGGAATGTGTATAGTTTGTTCATATGTGTTCCAGAATTGCTATATATTTACTGTATATAATATTTCTCTACTGTATATGTAAGATGGAATCGTTTTTTTCAAGATCGCCACCGTCCCTGCAAGATCACCCGACAGATCAGATCTGCCAGGGCCTCCGCCGCCTGCCGCCCCTGCGCCGCGGGGTCTGCTGCAGCCAGTTCTGGCGCGTCAGGGACCTGAGTGGGGAGAAGGCGACCCAAGCCAGTACACCCAGGAGCCCTGAGGATGGTTTGATCCCATTTTCCAGCCCAAGACCACCAGCTGATATGGGTGGTGCTGGAGTGGCTTCTTCTATTTGTATGTTGTTTGTATATTTATATATATATAGATAAATCGTGCACAAGTTTGTTTGAGTTTGTTTGTTGTGTGTGTGTGATAGTTTAACTCGTGGAGGTTCATACAAGTTGTGTGTCCCAGCGCAGCCAATGGAAATTGATGCTGAAATATCTGAAATACAGAGCTTTCGATCCCCACGCCGTCGCCCAGATGTACCATACAATTACTAAGTTCAGCCAAATGCGAAGAACCCCAGTTTATAATTTGATCCCGGTACTCTCATCGTTTGCAGCGCGCGTGTCGCGCCGAACAAGGCAGTCATGTGTACCCTGCGAGCCCGGCGGGGAAGCTTTGGAGATCGGTGGCCGTGACGCGACCCAGGTGGCAGTCTTTATGCCATCTCCTCACCAGAGCGCCAACACTCCTGATGACCCTGAGTTACCCTGAGGATGACCCTGAGTGACTTCTATTTTGGAGAACCAACCACCAAACCACATGGAGTTCTTTCCTATGAAAGCAGTGGTCATGTTTGGGCTCTAGGCTTGGATATGCTTACCCGTTTGGGCTCCGACTGCCTTCCGTTTCGAAGGTGGTTGGGGTGGGCGCTTTTGGTGGGTATATCTATACCTTCTGAGGTTGTGTTTGGAGCCAGGGGATACCCTTTGATCAAGAGGCCCGTGTAATCTTTTGGGCTCTCGACTGAGCTAACATAATTAAGACATATGACATACATATTATAGATCAATAAATTACTATAATTTTTAAGGGTCTTGTTTGGAAGGGAAAACTGACAGGAAACCAACCGTTTGGGGTGTGAAAACAATGGTTTCCGACTTCCCTTCAACCAATTCGGGGAAAGAACCAACGGCACATCAAAGTTTACTCTCTCAACCTGAGATGGCCCTGCCATGAGGTTTCTATGCACCGGAGGGTGCGAGGGCTTGTGAGGCTTGCCCGCCTGGCCGCTGGGCGCAAACGAGTTTCTTTTGCGCTTCACGATTGATTGGCGGTCCTGACCATTGCTGGAAGCTGCTGCAACAGTAGAGCATGGTCTTGTAGACATCACGGCATGGTCTGGTAGCGACACTCCTTGAACAACGGTCGCCCAGGCCATTTCAGCTTGTTTGGAGCCTCCAGGTGAGTTTGGGAGGATCGGAAGGAGAGACATTGGGTGTGTATTTGTTTGAATAGGGGAAAACCCAACCTCACCCAACCAATGGGTAGACTGGGCTATTTTCCTTCTGCCAATGGGTCGAAATGGAGAGACCTTCCTATGTTAACACATGCTTTTTTGATGGTGTTACTGTATTCGAGCGGGTTAGCATCCCACCAGTGCCATTTGTAGAGGCAGCGTGGTTCATGGTCTTCACAGGTCATACCCCCAACATGTTTTCCTCAGAACATGCCTGACAGGAAACAGGCAGTCTACCACACTACCCAGACCCCATCCATGTACCAGATGGGTCCCTTAAACTAAACCATCCCCTAAACCACCTCAATGTAGGAATATGTGCCAGCCGCATTCAGTGTCAGCGTTGTGGATTGGTAGCAACAAGCCTTGCTGTGCCTCTTGATCCAACAGGTGCGAGTCATGTCCAGCAGGCACGACGAATTCCACCGGCGGCGTTCCTCGGCTGAAATTCTGCTGACGTGAGCAGGAACGGTCTTAACTTACGACCAACTTCAAGTAGATACTGTAGGATGTAGAGCACATCAACAACATGAGTTTGGGTGCGGTATGCATATGTTTGGTCAAGCATGATCAGGTTTAAGGTAAATCGAATCAGGTTTTGATTTTGCTTTCTAAGCAGTTGCCACCTGAGGTTTGCAAGGAGTGCCCTCCGGGCTTCTTCAACAACAACCACCGTTGTGAAGAGCACAGCCGAGCAAGTTTGCCAGTTCAAGTCGGTGCGTTGTGTTGATTCAGTGGTTAATTTTGACACCATTCCCTATGGATCCACATACCTTCTGAGAAGGTGATTGGAGACTATTTATGTAGGCGCCAGGAGGGTCCAATTGCCTTCTGAGAAGGTGTATGGATCCATAGGGATTGAATTCCTTTGATTCAATTCCTAAATAGTTCAAGTCGGTGCTGCAGGAAGGCGGAAGGACAAACTATTTAGGAATGCCTGCACTCTACGGTCTTCCTCACATATCCAGAAGCCAGATTATCAGCTGGAGAAGTCTTCCAATTTCTGCTGTTAGCTTGAAACCCCCAACCATGACTGATGCCCAGTTCGCGAACGATTACCAAATTTCAATCCAATTGTGCCTACGAGACCCTGCTAATGAAGGATTGATACACTCCGACTCACTAATATATGGGAGTGGAAACCATCCTGTTCGCAAAGGAATATAGTTACCACAGCAACTTTTAAAAATTTGAGGGGAGATCAGTCATGTGAACCAACGACAACGCAGACCAAAACGAAAAAGGACGCACTGTCAACGCCTGGAGATTAAACAAAAAAACAAGGAAAAACATTAGCCCATTTGCAAACATGCCAGAAAACCACCAGGGGACCAAGCATACCGCCAGCAAGTTGCACGCCGCGCTTGCAAGTGGCCGGTCAATATGCTACTTGTTCTCGGAATGTCGCTGACAGTCAGGTGCTTGAAATCCCAAATTCCCCAGAGCTGATACCAGAAAGAAGGACTTCCCAGGACGGGTTGCCAGGGGTGCCCAGCTACTCCACTCACTGGATGGGACTAAAAATCACCCCGTCTTGTGACTCCTGGTCTGTTTTGTTTTGCACGGCTGCACGGTCGGCCAGGTGTCCCAGAGGAAGATATCAACCTCTTGCAGGGCAGACACGATGCTTTGAGGCACGGCAGCCACGCCTGCGGCTGAAGCAGAGCGGTTCAGGATGACGACAGGAAGTGGTTTGGACTAAGCCGCTTTTGGGCTTTAGAAGCTTCAGAATGCTTGGATGCCTGGCGTTCTTCTTGGGGCTAGGTAGACAGGACCGTTTGAGAGCACCGAAGTAAAATGACGGTAGCAATAAGGAAACAGAATTCGAACCTGCTAACCCTTATGACACGTACCTGAGGGGAACTGGAATATGCCCCGGACATGCCATAGATGCCAAGACTACATCCCCCACCCAGATGTCTGAGAGAAAAGGGGGCTGAGTCTCATCTCATCCCCATAGGGTTCCAGGTACCTCCGTACTTCGGATGGTCGGATGGTCGGTGAGTGGCAGTGCAAAACTATGCAGGTCGTTGCTTTTCTCGTTGCCGGGGGGGGTCGGTCTGGACCTCCGAGATCGGAGGGTCGTCTGACCCTTAGGGATCATCACATTGGTTTCGGAGCGCTCTGAAACCAATCCCGAATTCACCTACAAAGATGAGCCAACCATCAAGACACACCCGTGGTGGCGCGTGCAACGGTCTCCCAAACGATCCATGGTGGCGCAAAGATCGCATACATAGTGGGGTGGTTTTTTGGTGGTGAATTCATGTGAATGTACTTAAATGATCTTGAAGTCGTCTTTTCCCAAACACAAGCGAACTCTGTTGGTTGGAAAGTTGTTAATATACTCAGGTTCGCCTGCTGTTGATGCACCGGTGCTGTATATGATATGATATGATATGTGTTCTTTTTGGGTCATCCTAGGGACTACTGTTGAAGGTTCACCAGTTGCCTACATCCAGAGAGCTATGCTCCAACCATAGTTACGGTCAGAGTTCCATGTGCTAGGCAGCAAGCAAGCCAGAAAAGCATGGCTCTTTGCATGGTCTTCGACTCGGTCCAACCGGTTCGCCAAACCTCCCAAACCCAAAAACTGACACGCACAGATTTTGCACGGAAAAAAAGTGGAGAGAGCTTGGGCTCACAGGTCATTTCCACAAAATTTAGAAAGATTATACTATCCAGAAGTGAGACAGGAGTTTTGGAAAATATGGCGAAATCAGAAAAACTATCTCATGTGGCGAATGACTGTCATTCCCTGTGTCCACAAATCCCAGAGCATGTTTGAGCATCACCTCCTTTTTAGAGCGTTGTTCGGGAACGAATTGTGAAGCACATGAGAGTTGTGCCGCAGTGCCGGTGAATTCCATCACATCGCAGCCTTTTGGTTTTCATGGAGGAGCTGTCTGGAGCATTCCCCATATACATACAGTATCATACAGTAGATATCCTTAGCCCCCCTGGTTATGTGGCCACAGACTTTGTTTTGTCTACAAACAATTTCTACAGCGTTCCATTGGGATTGGTGTGCAGTAAACGTATGTAAATCAATCAAAACCACACTCTTTTGGAACTAGCGTTCCATTGGTTTTTGCACTCTTTGGGTTTACTTTTTGGGTGATAAGTGTTGTTTGGGTATCAGCGTTCCATTGGGGTTCGGGGGTGCAAGGGGATGACTTTTTGGAAACAGCGTTGCCATTGTGATTTGGCATTGAAACAGTGACCAGGGATGACTGGGGGATGACTTTGTCAGGTTCCTGTACATTTACATGAATCCTTTGGGTATGGAAATCGAGCAGCCAATTGATGCCCAAGTTTTGGGGTCACAAAGAAGAGAAGGAAAGGCAGCGCAAGAAGTGATCGATCTGTGTGATCTCCGGACTGATCGATCCACCTGAAGAACGAGACGATTTCACATATTTCACTGAGCATTCCCTATAGCCCTTGCTACCCGAGTTTTCAGGGTGCCTAGGGAACCTGGTGATAACACAAGGGGGATATTCCCTGCTCTCAAACCCTGGTTCATCCTGGTTTTTGTTGCGGACTGGGCCCGACCGTGGCTTCTGACTGCGGTGCCGACCGATCGGACTGGCCAGGATGGGCTTGGAATGACCAGTGCCGAGTCGGGGAGCGCAAGCATCGTGTCAGGTGAGGATGGGCATCGCCATTGCACATCCAAACGATCCGTGTAAGCAAATGTTGCGTACATTTGGCGGATTTTGGTGGTGAATGTAGGCCAGATTTACGCCACCATGGATCCTCTGGGCATTGTTTTCACCAACCCAGACACAACCGAACTGGAAGGTTTACATACTGTAGGTTTACCATCCCTGCCCCAATCATGGCCACGTTGATGGCATAGGTGCTGGAAAGACCATGTTCACCCATTTTCCTATACAAACAGGGGGGTTCACTCCACTTCCGTGATTGTTGCAGGAATGGTTATTTACCTACATTGACCACTGAAATCCACCACCCCAATGTATGTTAAGCCGGTCCCATGAGTGGGCTTCAATGCTACCAGCCACTGGGTGCCTTGTGAGTCGGATCGGACATGGGGCCACCCTCTGATCGGGTAGGCGGTGCCGTGGCCCAACGACATAGCACAGCTTCAGCTTTGGATGGCATGGTTTCCAGGATGTGACCCCCACAGAAGATGCCGCCAGAGTGGGTAGTTGAGGATCACTGCTGCAAAGAGTAGCCACCTGGCAGCTGCGAGTTTCGATATATAGTTCATGTTGTGGAAGCACTGAGGGAGCAGCTGTTCCCCAACCTTGATGCAGACCTACAGTGACTTGATATGATTTCAAAGGCACACATGCCACCAGGTAGACTTAAGAGCCTCCATCCTCCTCCCCTGGTTTTGGGATCCAAAGACCTTTCAACATTTGCTGGATTCACCGTCACTCCAACGTGCAGTGCCTGCCGCGCCCGGCTCGAGCCGCGTATCCTGCGCGGCGAGACGCTTCGCAGCTTCGCACAGCGCCGCACGGCGGGGGCGAAGACATGGGCTGCGCAACAAGCACCAGCTCGAGCATCCAATTCCAGGCAGGAAACCGGCAGATGGCAGAGCTGAGAGCGCCGTTCTCCCGAGTAGCAATTCAGCAACGAAGCACAGTGGAGTTCCATGAGTTGGCAGCCACCGGCAGCCACCTCGGCTGATCCAGATTCCTACCTTCTCGGATGGATTGTTGGAGATCAGAAAGGGTCACATGCCTATATGCTATAAAAGCTTTGCTACTTGATATGTTTTATGTTTTGAGGTTCTGCATATCATATCAATATCACAACTAGTGTTCTTGTTCTCAAATGAAGTGTCACAGCCGGGCATCGGTTCCTTCAGAAGCCGTGACCCCTGACTCTCCATGTGGGTCTTTGGGTCGTGGTGGTGGTGGTGGCGGTGGTGGTGGTCTTTGGTGGTCTTTGACTCTCCATGTGGTTTGGGTCTCTCCAGACTCCATATTCAACCTTTGCTTGAGACAATTGAGCCCACTGACTCATATCGTATCTTGGTACATCTTCGTCCACCAACCACGTCTGTAGTGGCCACTCACTTGAAGCTGCCCAATCGACCCCCATTCCCAGGACCCTGACGGATGGACACCCTGAATCAACTCTTTTTGGTGCTGTTCATAGACAACCCTTGAAAGGTCCTGGCAAGGAAACAGGAAACATCAAAAGCAATCCCATTTAGAAAAACCTATCCCCATCAAGAGCAATCCCATGTCATATGGTCACCTCTTAATTCTCCCATTTAGAAGAACTCATCCCCATGAACCGCCCCCGCAGTTGGGTCTTCGTTACAGGTCCAGTCCGACCAGTCCGACCATCATACCATGCTAAACCTGCAAAACTAAAGGCCATCCGAGAAAACACATCAAACAAAGTCGCCAGGGCTACCAGCGCAACCACATGAAAATACAACTAGCAAGTATATATGTAAGGACCTTCTCCACCGTGGGGTGCCCTGGAATAGGAAGCCTGTTAGGTAGTGTGGGGTAGTCCAGCCAGGACACCTCCGCCCGATCCCTCCGGCAGGTCCATACCTCGGTCGGCACCCATGCGGCCTCAGCGCCGCCCACCGGCGGGTCCCTGCCACCAGTGACGGCGCCGGTGCCGACGCTGGCCGAAGAAGGAGCCGGTGGTGGTCAGGTGGAGGCTGTAGAACTGTCAGTGTCTTTTTTTTAGGTGGACTGTCAGGTGGAGCCGGTGGTGGTCTTATACAGGTGGATGTGTTTTTTTTAATCATGTTTTTATCTTAAAAGTCTGTATAAGTCTGTATATAGTAGTCCGTAGACTTGTATAGGTAGATGGGGGGAAGGTGTATTAGTTGTACTGTAGAAAGATTAACTTGGGGGCTCATGTAGGCTGTTGATTAAGAAAACCTCTCTTTGTATGAAGATGTTTAAAACAAATGCCGGGGTTGGACCCATCAAGAGTCATTATGACCCGTTGAACTGACTGGGATCTGGAATAGATAGACGGCCGTCTTTTGGCCCTGTGGAATTCAACCACCCCAATGCTGGTGTATAGTGTGTATATATATATATATATAGTAATGTGCACCATACATAGATCGAGTTTAGGGTACAGCGTTATCCACGTCCTTTGGGTTTCTTGACGTCACGTTGTTTGGCAGAAGATGAAACCGACGGCGTTTGACTTGGCCGTCAAATTCGTAGCACAGTCTCCCTGGTTGTTGATTTTGGAATAGAGAACGTACAGGTACTTCATCATGGAACATAGACTCATTCTCATTCTCATGGACAAGTGCAGTTTGATGCAATCTGCACTACGAGAGAGTCTTGAACCAACACTTGGAATAGAATGGCTTTCTCCCTGAAATGTAGTTAAACGTACATGGGTTCCATGCACGTGAGCACATCCCCTGATTCATCCTGCACTCGGCCAAGGATGGGTAGCATGGTGGCGGCTCGGGAGCACTTGAATCCAGCGTAGCTCAAGAATCGGGTGCCGCTTCTTTCAGTAGTGTGAGAGTGAGTCTTCTACAGACCCACTGGTAGAAGCTGCACCCCTAGAAGTCAACAACCCGCTCTCAGAGATAATTAGACCCCGTCGCAAGACGCTTCTTCTACAGGCGCACCTGTAGAAGTGTCTTTTGAAGTGGCCATTCTCATTGGCCAGTTCTGGTCCTTCCTTCTTCGTACCAAGTCTCTCGGCTTGAGGTCAAAGTGCCCAATGGCGCGCGGGTGGGGCAACTGCTACAGATGACCACCCCCCATGGCACGAAGGTCCAGTGCCAGGCGGTTCGAACGGACCAACGGGACCAAGGGAACCGTCGTGGACATACTTACCAGGCTATCACCCGATATATGGAAGTATGGTCCAAGAGAGGTGGAACAGTGACCGTAAATCGGACGCTACTGGATAGTCGAACTATGGCCATTCAACCTCCGTTGGGTTCGTAGAGACGTTCACGTTAGGGAGGGGTCTAGCATTCTAGCAACTCGAAATATATTCCGGTTGAGTGGTGCTGGAAGTCGTAGTAGAAGGCGCTGGATTGCTGCTTGACTTGACTGCAGCACTGTCACTCCCTAGCAGGATGATTCAAGCCTTGGCGATGAATGGTTCTGTACTGCACACTGAACGGCTCCACTTTTTTCAGCTATAAACATCATGTCTAAGTGACAGTGACCCTGAGGTTGATGCATGGTGTTTTTGTTCTTCCAGTCTCTTGCAAAGCATTCCCTGCTTGTGTTTTTTTTTTTTTTTTTCGGATGGCTCCTGCTTTGGAATGCTTTCACCCCGGCAACTTCAATGGCTCCTTTGGTCAGTTTCCATGACCTTGGTGAAGCCTCTAATCAGCTTTTATAAGATTGTTGACTTCCCTAGCTCCCTGATGCTTTTCGGAGATTTTCAGTGTGTTGTAAGAATTGACCAACCCGATATCCACTGACAATTGATCCTTTGGGGTAGCGACTGGGCGATCGTGGCTGCAACGTTCACGACCGGTCTTTCCCTTAAAGACTTGGAAGGGAAGTTCTTTCTTCTTCCTACAGAGGTGAAGTGACCTTATAGTACCCTACAGGGGTACCTATAGGATAGTCCATAGGGTTCTTCAACCTCTTTCTTCTTCAGCCATGCCTCCCGGCCATCATGAAGCTCCCGGCCGCCATGGCCCATGGTCAAGACCCACCAACGGTGGTCGAAACTGAATGCACCCCAGCCGAACACCCGCCGTCGAAACCGTCAGGTGCCGGCCGGTTTACCTCCGGATGGAACCTTTCAGGCCCGCCGCGGACACGCTGCGGACAGTCTTGTTCATTCCGAAGACGACGGTCAAACAGGGGGCGAAGTACGCCTTCCATGTCCTTCAGAGTGAGTTTCTCAGCACGGGATTTGGGACTTACCAAGCCAGCATGCACCGGGTCACCACCGACACGGTAACAGCAATCCGTATCACATGACAATCTGATTTGTTCCAAGGATTACTGTACCTGGACCCTCCAAGGGGTGTCCAATGGACTACTCCACACTACCTATAGGCTTCCATTGGGCACCCCTTGGAGGGTCCTGGTATATAGCTTAGTTAGGAATAGCTATTGTTGTGTCCTTTTCCTTGCGCAGTCATGCCAGTGCTTGAAATCGTTGGATTTTGAGGATGTTTTCTTGTGATCCTGGACTGTTTAAAGAGTAAACACAGCACTTCGATTCGCGCATATGTTCCTAAAAGAGGAACAGCTCACTGATACATCAGCCTCCAACTGTATGATTCTACGAAATATTTTGTAAATATATGATATATGCTGTGGAACCTTATCCACTCTTCAACCACATCCCTTCCACCAAGCTGAACGCTTCCCGCAGGTGCAGTACCCCTTGCCCACGAAGGCCACCCTCACCGTGCACGACGAGTCTGCGCGCTTCACGTCCAAGACCGTGGCGGCGCTGCTCGGCGACTGCTGGGCCGTAGAGGAGGCAAAAGGAGATGAGGAATGACCAGGAGTCACGTTCGACGGGGTGCCGAACGAACGGAGGAAGTTGGGGTGCCCCTGTCACCTACCTCCACTCACTGGCTGGGACGAGCCAAACCACTGAACCTGTGACTCCCGGGGATGAGTCTTTCTAGTTGCATCGGGTGCATGGATTGGGCTCGAGTGA